TCAAAACCTCTCTGTCACTTGTGAATTGTAGGAAGAGGGGACGTTTGGAGATTCATTTTAGTTTTCACTTTCTTTAGTTGGAATCCAGAGAGAATACATATCTATCTGAAGATGGAATCTTAAGTTGTGAAGTTTAAAAACAGAGAGTATTTGTGAAGGACTTGGACCTTCATTTGATACTCAACAAGCACTTCAAGTATATGGTGACCATGGCCACTTGCGTAAGAAAAAGAACACATTTCTTAGAGGTGTCTCAGTAGGTATTTTTTCCTTAGGGCTTGCTGTGTGACCAAGGATGACTTTAAGCAGAAGACCCTCTTGCCTCTAACTCCCAAGTGCTGGGGTTATAGGTATGCTCCAGCATTCCTGGTTTATGCTGTCTAAGAGACTGAGCACAGGGCCAGTGTCTACATCTATGTGTGCCATGCTCATATGGGACTGGTAGGGCATAGCATTTGTTGAACCCAACATTGCCATGTGCTGTGAGTCATGTGGTCTGCTGCCTGTTAGTGTTAGTGTCACAAGTCATCAAGGAGTTTTTCACTCATAGTCTCTCACTGACCAAAATGTCGTTCTGTGACAAAGGGTATACAATTACTAATTTTTGTTACCAACAGTTGAAAATGACCAAGCATGTCACCTAACCTTATTACCAGTTATAGAGAACACAGTACCTTGTGTCTGCAATGCTTTGTTCTTAAGTTCTTATATATGTTCTTTTATTCCATCCTCAGTGTTATCAGGGGACATATTCCTGGGAATATGACTGTAAGTGTTTCACAAAACTGAAGCTAAGTGCAAAATTAATCATGGGTTTATCTGCTTTTCACTCTCCTCTGGCTTCCTGTTGCTCACAGGAAAATGTCCAACATCCCTAACAGTCTACCAAGGCCTGCCTCACACAAGCCAGTCTGCCTTCCCATCCATTTCTCACCACCCACCTGCCCAGGCTGGGTATCCTAATGTGACAGGGCAAGACAGTGCAGTTTCTCTTGTCTTATAGTCTTGCTGAGGACATTTTACAATTAACTAGAATTTGACCTCCCTGATGAAAAAATCACCCAGCTTTATTCTAGGAACCCATGGTCCAGATGCCTCAGCTAATTTATCTTGGCCTCTCTTAAATTGCCTGTCTGTATAAACCTCCCCTTCCAGCTAACCGCTTAGCTTAGCTTCTGTGAAACTGCTTGCTTGTACAAAACCTCCCTATACAGCTGCTGAGTGAGACAACAGAATGTGAATTTTGCCTTTAAGAGTTCCTTGCTCTAAATGCTCCATGCTACACTTGGGTCCCAAATGCCTGAGTGTAGTTACAGCCGGCTGGAATAAAGACTTACAATTGGCTATAGAATGTCTGGAGTGGTCTTCTCAGGTGGACTCCCATAATTCTGCTTACACTGGACTTCCAGTTCCAGAAATATGTCCTGCTTTCTCTCAAGAGTCCTTTCTCTCCAGGCTGGTCCCTCCATTATCTCCCTCCACCCCAGAATCTCTTCCAGTTTCCTCCAGCTTGGCTGTGATAACTTGCACACACCCTCATACCTACCCACCTGGGTGACTCATGTTTCTTCATAAACATGATACCAGTTGGAGGTAGCATGCATTTCTGCTCAAACAGTAGTTTAAACAAGATGGGATGTACCCAGTATGACAAGAGTATTTTCTCTCATGAAACAAGAAGCCCAAAGGCAGGCTGCTAAGGCTGATCTGAGCCCTCCCTCTGGTGTACCTTGGCATGAAGGCTACTTCCTCAGGCTCTGGACATCACAGAGCATTCAGTGCCTCCCAGAAAAGAGCTTTACTGGAAGCCACACCCTAGAAACTTTATCATATCATAGTGGTCCAGGTTAGCTGGAACTCCTGTCTTCTGGAGAACACGGGGGAGGGTGGGGGTGCAGAATTCTGGTTGGGCCCTTAATTGGTCATACTGCACAGGTATCAGTTGAGTAGAAAAAGGAAGCTGGATGCTGAGGGAGCAATAAGCAGCTCCTGGTACCTATATTTCCACAGAAACCTGCACTTTCCTGCCTAAGGTTTCCCCAATTGGGAGTGACTTATTCAGCTACATGATGGCATTTTCAAGGCATCTCTAGTTTATCCAACTTCCAGTGACTCTGTAGGGGTGAGGATAAGGCAACAAGCGAATTCCTCTGTATTTAAAGATCCACAGAAGGAAAGAAGAGAGACACGTGTTGGCTTCACTGGAAGCTGCCCTCAGAGGTAGAACCCTGGACCGGCCCAGACCTCTTTTTTTTTTTTTTTTTTCAGGTTGTTTTTGATGTATTTTCTCAGGAATCAAACCAGAGTTTCATGTAGGCCAGGCAAGTTCTACCCTCGAGTCACATCCCTAGAGGCCTTCATATGTCTAAACAGGTGGTGAATCCTCCCCTGGCTGGTCCAGACAGACTCCTTAGCATTGGCCCTCATTGGGATTTATGTATTGTGGTTGATATAAAAGCTGAAGGTCCATGAGTTCTTGACCACACTGTATCAATAACATGCAGGGCATGACTTGAGAGCAGCAGACTAGCTCCCCTGAAAGGCTGATAGCACTCAGAAGGTCTGATGGACTATAATCTGTGGTAGAAAAAAAAAATCTCCCAAAGCTGAACTTCTCACAGCATCAACCAAGGGAAGCTGGCCATGACATGTCTGCTCATAAGACACCATGGCCATGTCTTCACCAAGCTCAGAAAGAAGAGGAGGATTTTCATGCCGGACACTGAGTGAACTAGAAGCAACAGGAAGCTGTGGACCAGGAGCCTGCTCCTCTCATGAAGCCAGTGTGACCTTCTGGAAGGCTGAGTGCAGAGGGTATGCAGCTGGGGGATTGCTCCCATCCCCTTCCTCTGAGAACACTCGAGAAACAGGAAAGTCTAAAAGATACAAAGGTTTGAGCTGTCTTGGGCAGACCCTCCGACACACCTGTTTTCATTCCTATAAACTCCCTAATGAAGCTCTGTTCTCAACATCTCAAAACACCCATAACCGGAGTTTTTTAAGGCAAAAACCCTGGCTGGTAAGTTCCAACAGGCTAGGCTCAGCCACAGCCACAACGAGTCCCAGAATGTCAATTAAAGATAACAACCATGGTGAAAAGCAGAAGGATATCTCTTCTCTGCAGCCATATTGGGAAGATGAGCCAACAGAGGCATCCCGGGACCCCCAAATAAGACCTGAGGGTAATTTTAAATAGAGGTCAAGCAATATATGTAGCTATAAACACTCCTGGTTAAGGTGGTTCCAAGGGGCACTGCAAAGTGGTCTTAAGAAGTCATAACTAGGGGCTGGAGAGATGACTCAGTGGTTAAGAGCACCGACTGCACTTCCAGAGGACCCAGGTTCAATTCCCAGCACCCACATGGCAGCTCACAACTGTCTGTAACTCCAGTTCCAGGGGACCTGACACCCTCACACAGACATACACACCAATACAAATACAGTTCCCCAATACAGAATTGCTCTCATGTATACCAACCCTCACTATCTATCCTGTGGGGTTTTATTCTCTCTGGAATCCAAGGTGACTAAAGAGGACAATGACTTAGCTGTGTCTTCAGCCTTGACAGGGATGGGTTAGGTTGACAGAGTGTAGCGGGAGTGTGAGCCCCTGTGAAGGAGTCAGATATACAGTGTGGACAAAGAAGCCAGGCTTTTGTAGGCTTAAGGCTACCTACCCTGTGGAGTTCAGCAAAAGCAGCAGCATCTGTGTACAGATTCCCAACCCACCCGACACTGCAGCACCATGGCTCTGGTCTTGAGACATATTCTGAGGCAGGCAGGCTTTCCAAGGAGTTCCACAGAACTGGTGTGGCGGCTCTGCAATTCCTGCCTCAGGAGACTGTTTGCTGAGGACACAGGCTGTGAACCCTAAACAAATGATCATGCATGAGGGAGCTGATCTCATCTTCTCCAGACAGAAGAGCCCACTGCCTTCTCCTGCTCCTTACTTTCCAGCAGATGCAGCACAGTGTGGTTCTGGGGTGTAAAGGAAATGACCACCATCAAGCTTACATCCAGAATACACCGCACTGGGAAATGTTCCCACAGGATCATGTGCTAAACACTTGTCCCCGCTGGGTGGCGCTATTTGGGGTGCTATGGAAACTTTAGTGAGACCTAACTAACAGATGGTTCACTGGAGGTGAATCTTTAAAGGTTATAGCCTGACCCTGTTTCTGGTCCTTATTTTTGTTTGTTTGTTTGTTTGTTTGTTTTTGTTTTGTTTTGTTTTTGTTTTGTTGCTTCTCTGTCACCAAGATGTACAGAACCCCAGCTGCACACTCTTGCCACCAGGACTTTCACCGTCATGTCCCCTGAACCACGAGCCAGAAAAAAGCTTTCTTCCTTTAATTGCTTCTGTCTGGTCTTTGGTCACAGCAATGAGAAAAGTGGTTGACACCGGTTCTCACTTGAAGTTCCAACTGTGGAGTTCTGCTATAACTTCTCCTGCTAATCTTCCTCGTGTTATACATGCCTCCTGTACATCAACATTTATGCATCAACTGCCTAGTTGAATTAGGAGCATTTGCGCTGTGACAACTTGCTGAGAAATGGGTTGCGAACAACTTCAATCAAGGTTGCTGTAATTGTCATTTGGTTACAGTGTATAATGCTCCGGACACATTGCACACATGTTGCTAAAATCCCTTCTCTGGGGGCAGGGGAAGATGTAAACAACATCTACCCTCTCCCTGAGGTCCCAACACAAAGCAATATAGATTGCACTCAAGTTCACCAAGGGGAACCGATGATCTTATTAGGCTTTCGTACAGAACCGTGGGTGAAGGGTTACATGCAGGCACACGGGTGGCCTTAAGGCAGCCACACTGGAAGATCTGTGACTGCACAGATGGAACTCCCTCCCCGAGCTAGTCCTTCTCCCGTCTATACACCCCAACCTCTCACTATCAATCAGGATTCTCTATAGAAACGGAAGTGATAGAATGAATATCATATTAAAGGGGATTTATTAGAGTGGCTTAGAGACTGTGGTCTGGCCAGTCCAACAATGGCTGTCTGTCTCTTCACAGAAAGGCCAAGAATCTAGTTCAGTCCACGTGGCTGGATATCTTAGCTGGTCCTCAATCACAAAGAAGTAGGATGTAACACCAGTGAAAGAATGCCACAGCAGCAGGACAGATGAACTTGCCAGCAAGAGTGAGGGCAAGCAGGCAAAAAGCAAAAGCTTCCTTCTTCCATGGCCTTTTATGTGGGCTGCCAGCAGAAGGTGTGGCCCAGATTTAGCATCTGAGTCTTCTGATCACAAATGATTCCGTCTTGAAAACTCCTCAGAGACCAGCCGCTTGGGTTATAGTTGATTATAGGTATATTCAAGTTGACAGCCAAGATCAGCTGTCACGCGCTCCCTGAGGCGTCAAGCAATTAGAATTTCATTAGGCTTCACACAACTGGTTGGGAGGGGTGGCTGGATACTCAGGATCCCACAACTCTGTACCCCTTATATAAAAGAAGGTCAAAGGTCAACAAGGCCAGCCATGCTGATCTCTTGCAAACAGGCACAGCTGATCTGATGAAGATGGAGGCAGTTTGGCTCTGAGGATGGCCCTAAACAACAACACATTACTTCAAGTCTCACCACAGACATGCAAAGAAGATGTTTATAGAAGAAATCATTGGCCTGTGGACACAACACCACAGTTCTCCCTGCAAGGAAAATAAGAGAATTTATTCTGAGCCAAATGTGTGTGAGCGAGTCCTGGGAGCATGGGTTCAAGTTGCTCTAAGTGACACAATCTGAACAGACTTGACCTTTTCATAGTCACAGAACAAAGGCAGTCAATGCATTCACCACACATATTATCAGAGACATCAGGTGATCTGGTTAGTGGAAGCTAGAGGTCTGCTAATAAGGTATTTAATTAATACACTCTAAAGGTTTTATGTGACAGTCAAAAGGTCAGATGAAGAGGGAGCTATAAAGAAGACTAAAGACAGCCCAACACAGTCTTGCTTTCTGATCTGTGTCACACCTACTCTTTCCAGTCACAAAGCTCTAATCAGTCCCTAGAATCTTCAACTCAGGTATGGCTTTCCCAAGGCACTATAGTTATGTGCCCAAAGACACACACTGTTTTAAGAATGGAGGTAGAACCTGAACAATGGCCTAACATCAAAGACTAATCCTCTGCTGGGTTGTCCTTTAATTCTATAGAGTATGCCTATATATTCAGGGGTCTGCCTACCCTTCATCCCATGGGAGTCAAATGCATGGACAGCCATGTTTTCAGGCCAGCTTACACTGTTCCATATCATAAACCAATAGGTGACAACCATCTGCAAGAAGGTTCACTGGGTATGTTGGGGAGGGAGACCCTCCTCTCTGCACGTGTATAGAAAGTCAGCAGTAGACACTTAGTGGATTTTCACCAGGGAGGTTCCCTGGGAACTTCTTAAAAGAAAGAGACCAAGATTAAAGGGATTTCTTGAGCCCTTTACAAAGGGTGGCCTTTGAGCATTCCCTGACAGAGAGCAGAGGCCCATCTTTCAAGTGACATTGTTTAGACAGTGACTCACCTCTGTGATGGAAGGGGTCCCAGGGTTGACTCTCCCACCATTGCATGCTCCTTAAATCACTGCAGAGGAGACAGCTTGGTGTCAGTGTGGGGCAGGGGAGGACAGAGAGGGGCAGGGGTTCAGGTCTGCCGATCCATCAACCCCATCCATCCTGCCTCTGGGCTGTTTACACGGCACTCCATCTAGGCTGCCTCAAATAACACTTGCTTTTTCTTTAGGGGAGGCATTGTTTTTCTTATACCAACACACACAAAAGCTCCCCCATCCCTCTCCTCCAGGGCACACCTAAAAGATGGCGTGGGGAAGAAGGGACTTCTGCCAGGTGAGTCCAGTGCCCACAAAAAAGTGACTGCTTTCTCTTGAGGCTTTCCAAGACATTTCCTGTCACTACCATACTGTTTGTGAGTTTATCTCAAATCAATAAATATGGTGGGAGGTGAGTCTTGGGCCACCTCCAGGGGTGAGAACCACCAATGCAAAGCACAGGAGCGACAGACAAGGTGGTTGACAGGTGCAGATTCCAAGACACTTCAAATAATCTCTAGTCCCAGACACCAGGGCCCTGTCCAGGGAGTCTCTTAGGGAAGATGTCCTTCAAGATCTTACTCATGAATGAGAGCAGATGCAGGCACTTCACTGAGTGGCAACCAAGTCTGAGAATGTGCCATATAGGAAGGTGCATACCTTAGAAATTCAACCTGACCAATAGGGACTACAGCACAAGTAAGCCAACTGGTCAACCCCAGGCTACCACCACACCCAATCTTGGCTCTGTCCTCCACACTAGCCACTCCTTCACTCACCAACCTCACCCCACCCCTTTCAAGAGTATGTCCAGGGGGTGCACATGTACTTTAACATGACCTTGAAAAAAGCAGCTGAAGGGAGATCTACTGCCTGCCTTGAGAGAATGAGACTCTTACATAATTAAAGGCTCTGCATCCCTCATCACAGATGTAAATTCACTATTCTCAACACTAATATAAGTCAGTGCTTAGGGAAACAGCTGTGCTGTAAACCCTTTAATATAACAGGAGCCTGTCTCCCTGAGGACATCTTGCCTTTGGGTAGCAACAGGTGTGGATAAATGGGAGATGCTTGTAGCGACAGCTCTGGTCCTGTCTCACATGCCTGAAGTAAGTGAGAATCTGGCTTCTAGGTTCCATCAGGCATCCTTTATGACCCTCTTTTGTGGGAGCCTGTGACCCTCCATGATCTCCCTTGGTTGGAAGACCCTTGGAATCCAAGGCAGTATCAAAGTTAGGTATCTGCTTTACTAAAAACAGCTCAGTGTCTGACATAGTGCAATCAAAGTTGGGAGGGCAGTTTGATGACCAAAAAGATTTGCTTTCGATATGAGCCTATCTACTCTCAACTCCAACTCTAGCCAGGAGCTAGCAAAACAGAAGTGGGAGTCCAAGCTTGGTAGAGATGTGAATTAAATTCATACTACTCCATGATTCATCTTCCTACTTCCTAAATGAGAGCATTGAGGGCCAGACAGGGAAATCACCTGCCTGGCTGAGTCTGAAGACAGAGCTTTCACACAAGAACTGCCTGGGCCCTACTTTCCTTTGTGGTATACTCCTTACATATCCATGGGAAACAGGCTACTCTACCCCAAGGATGCCAGCTGGTGGGTTACAATCCACAGGACTTCTCTCCCCAATGTCCTCCTTTTGAACCCCACAAGCTAGCAGGAATCTGTGCCCAGCAAATGAATTCCAATTTATCTTACACTTTCAGTGTTGAAAGTCTACCACAGCTGACTCTTCCATCCATGTAGTTTGAGGAACATCTGATTTAGAGAGACACAGAATATAATCTCACTATGGACATCTGACAAAGCTACAGCGGATGCCACCCTGGGGCCACATTCTGCCACACCTCAAGTTCTCTGATCTTCAAGATTCCTTCTCCCTCTAAATGGTACCCTCTCTAAAGGTTAAGCAGGTGACAGGGGCCACCATTATAGCCACAGCATTTAGATTAGAGAGGAAGCTTCCTCACAAATTACTGAACTCCTCAGTCACTAGGCAGTTTACATAAACTCTGCTCGAAAATATAAATCCTCACTCTCCTTAGAAGAGCCTCAAAGTAGACAAACTGAGGCCCTTTAGCTGGGAGGACTAAGGAGTCATAGCTTACCAACTGAAGAAGGACTGAGATACAGTCTGAGGCCCCACATCACACTTGACCCATGTCCTTGGCAGAGAGGCCAGATCAAGGCCTGTATTGTTTCTGAAAGCTGTCAGTCCTTGTTGCCAAGGTAGAAGCCAGGGATCAATCACCCTTTGGCTCTGGAGAAGGACAAGGCATCAGAGAGGAACACCCAACTGGGAGGAAGACAGACTGATGAGCCTTACAGTCTCTAGACAAACTTACATCAATCAATGGATGTCAAGGCATGTGAGGTTGAAGTCAAGGCCACTGTGGGTGAATACAAGCCAAAAAAAAAAAAAATTACTCCCCCTCCATCTCTCCCTATGCATGGATTTTTTTTCACCATTTCTAGTATGACCCAACCACACATGATGAAGGTGGTGAGGGTGTATTATCCCATGCCACAGACAAGGAGGTTGGGGCTAGAAGTTGGGGAGCAGAGAGGTTGAAGGCACACATCTGGAAAGCTACACAGCTGGCTCTTCTGACCCCAGACACAGGTTAATGACTTTCTTGCAGCAGTCCCACTTATAGTGTCCTTGTCTGCTCTCTGTTGCTGTGACAAAATGCCATGATCAAAAAAAACAACAACTTGTGAAGGAAAGACGATGTTTTGTTTAAACTACCACGTTCATCATCTAGGGAAATAAGGGCAGGAACTCAAGCAGGAACCTGGAAGCAAGACCTGAAGCAGAGACCATGGAACAGCTTTGTTTACTGGCTTGCTTCAGGCTCACGCTCAACTACCTTTTTTATACCTCCAAGACCATTCACTCAAGGGTGGCCCCACCCACATGGGCTGGCCCCGCCCACATCCTGCATTAGTTAAGAAACCGCCCCCACAGACTTGCCTACAGGCCAGTCTGATGGAGGTAATTCCTCAGCTGAGGTTCCCTCCTCCCCAATAGCTCTAGCTTATGTCACCATGACAAGAAGGGGGCAACACATCACAGCCACTGCCTTATTTCCTTCAGCCATTCCTTGCGACATTGATGAGGCACGTTCGAAACAAAGGAAGCCACAGATTTTCTTCTTCCTCTTCCTCCTCCTGCTCTTCTTCTCCATCTCCATCCATCTTTTTCTCATTAGCTCCATCATTTAGAATTCAGTCGTGGTACTCTGCCCTTCCTAAAGAGGGCCCCACCTGTAAACTAGACTCCCAGTTTCTACCCACTTAGTGCCTGACAATGAGGATTAAAGTACAAACCGGACTCAATCATGGAGTCCGAGGGTGGCAAGTGCGGCCAGTGGAATAAATACATCAGGGGCCAGCACATCAGGACCTGCTAGGGCCGGGTGATAGATTCATAATATGCTCCCATGGTTGCGCATGTCTGGTGGACCTAGACACTTCTGCCTAGCCAGTTCCGGGTCAAAATAGCCATTTCCAGGTCAAGGCGTCTCACATGACCAGGACCTGTGGCTTTGCATGGTTGGGTAAGAGCGTTTATAAGCCAGCGCCATATTCCTGGCTTCCTTCTTCTTTTCCAAGCACGTGTCTCTTTAACAGGCCTGAGCACCCCTGTCCTTTTATCTTATCTTAATAAAACTCTTGTTAGTGGATTCTGTCGTGTTTCGAGACATTTCCTTGCAGGGTAAGAGTGATGCAAATAACTAACACTGGGGACTGCATGTGCAAGAGAGGCCTGTTGAGAAGGCATGTGAGCAAAGACCTGACCAAGAACGTAGAGTGTGGCATGTGATGGCCAGGACAGCTCATTCAGAATCAGGGACAAAGACAAAGGCTCCTGGGTAGGAATGCTGTCTTGTTGGATAATGACAAAGATAAATTTGTTTTGTAAAAAATATTTGTCGGGTTAAGCTGTGTAATATTTTCAATGCCCTCCCCCCAAAAAAGAGGAACAAACTTAAAAACTTAAAATTGGCATGTGAGCGAAAGTCAGGGTCGGGGGTTCCCCGAGATCTATGGCACTGCTAGAGTGGGTAGGGGGCTAGTGAGGGTGACAGAGGCAGGCACTGTATGTGTTAAATCTCGGGGGGGCAGTGGTGGCGGTGGTGGGGGGGGGGAGGTTGGTGGTGGTGGTGCTGGTGGTGGTGGGTTTTTTAAACATTTATTCAGTGTGTGTTCATGGATATATGTGTGCATGCTCTTGTAGGAAATCAGGAAGTTCACTGGCACCCGCTCCATTTGGTCTCCAAAAAAATTCTACCACAGGCGTGTTATCCCCATTTGCCTTAGTTTTCAGACTGTTTATTTTTAAGACAGGGTCTCAAGTAGTCCAGGCTGGCTTGAACTCAGAGCCCCTTAAACTCCTGATCTTCCTGCCTCCTACACCCATGCACTCACACACACACACACACACACACACACACACACACACACACACACCAAAACAAAACAAAAATACACCACCACCACCAACAACAACCAAATAACTGGCTTCCTGTTGTCAGAATGATGTCAGAAGGTGAACCCAGTGTCTCCCTTGGGTCACTGCTCTGCTCTTTCGCTTTGTAGGCTGTGGCACCTGGGGCTCATCACTCCCACCCCGCAGATCCCCGTCACCCGGCATCATATACTGTGAGGCCAAAACACTTGTTCTTCTCTTTGCAAGATGTTCTGCCTGTAGGGGCCCTCAAACCTCAGGGGTATTACATCAGCATCCCTTTCTGTTCTCACTATCTGAGACCTCAGTGAGAAAGGACCCATGTGGCCAGCATGCCAGGCCACGGCCTTGGGAGTGCAGATCTCCCTCTGGTGACTAAGCCCGGTGACTAGAGCCTGCTTGCCCTCCTGGCTCCTTCTGCAGGGGGTTTTCCCAGGAATCACCTGCTTGCTGGGAGATACTCAAGGGGGCAGGGCGTGGCCACCTCCTACAGAAAGTTTAAAGATTAGTGGGACTGACTCAGTCAGCCTCTTATTATTGTCCTGGACCTGCGTCACTAAAAAGGTCAATGATAGAGCAGAACCCAAGACTGAATTTGTTTATTCCAAATTTGCTGATTACTCTTCATTAATTTAATTATATTTCTCTCTATGGGTTTTAATTGGATCTGTAATTGCCTTTTCATTGCTTACCATCAGTAGAATTATATCCAGCATGGCAGTTGACTTAGACCCTTCTGTGATACTCTATGCCTAGCCAGTTACCCTACCCACAAAGATAAATAAACAGCAATATCCTAGCGACCACAGCTGGCCTCCTCACTGGCTCCTCCCACCAAGCATCTTTGCAGTTCAGTGGTTAGTGTCTGAGGGTCCCACTTTGAATTGCTAAGACTTTCTTCCCAGCTAGTCCCGTCCTCATGCTCTGAACCATCTACTCTGCTGTTCCCTCGAGCAGCACAGTGTATATACAGGCAAAGGAGGAGAGCTGGAGAGACTTCATTCTGCTGTCCTCCGCGAGCCCCAGAGCTCTTGACTTGTGGAAAACTGAGCCCCAGAAGCAGAGAGTGAGAAGTAGAAGCTGGAGATTAGGCGATGGCGCCATTAGGTTCTAGTGGGGAATCTGGAGCATGTCTTTATTAATGGTGCTTATCACTTTCATATGGTTATTTTAAAACTAAAGAACAGATCAAGAAAACGATTATTAGATAATAATTTAGGAAAATACTGTTGAGATACAGAGGGAAGTTGGCAAAATATAAATGAATGTACAGATCAAATACAGTAAAATACTGAAAGCCTTATGTGATGCTTAATCAAGTCAAATGTATTGTCAGAATATTGGGGGGACTACAGCTCAATAATAAGGTGTTTGCTAGTGTGTTTGTGAATGTACACACATACAGAGAGAGAGTGAGGGAGGGGGAGGAGAGATTTGAAATAGTTATCTTTCTTTCTTTCTTTTTCTTTTCTTTTTTTTTCTTTTTTTTTTTTTTTTTTTTTTTTTTAGAGAAAGGTTTTTTTTTTTTTTTTTTGGTTTTTCGAGACAGGGTTTCTCTGTGTAGTTTTGGTGCCTGTCCTAGATCTCGCTCTGTAGACCAGGCTGGCCTCGAACTCACAGAGATCTGCCTGGCTCTGCCTCCCAAGTTCTGGGATTAAAGGCGTGTGCCACCACCGCCGTGCTTCTGGTCAGGAATTTTGCCATAGCAACAAGAAAAGTAACCAACAGACCCATCCATATTTCTATTGCCATTTTACAAAACTATTTCAGCCCCATGAGGAGGCAAGGTCATGTACGTGTGGAGCCATCCCAGACAATACTGCTTCTCACCACTCCTTCTCTCGAAAAGGCCCCTGGAGCACCCCTGTGCATCCTGGCACAGCTGATCGCTGCATTGGGTCCTGGAGAAGGCCACAGGGCTAGCTCGGGCTAAGTGTAGACTGTTCCAATCCTCTCAAGCCAGCAAAAGAGCAGCAGATGAAGGCTAACTGTCTCTTTTAACGGGCTAGAATGTTAAGGCTGTTTCCAAAACTCACCTATTAAAATGAGGAGTTGACTGGGAGGAAACACACACTTACAAAGTCATAGTTGATAAACAGAAAATCCATTTATGTTATTATACACTTAGAAGATGAGCCCTGACCTGCTGGGTAGAGACGAGTAATTGTCAAGAAACCGGCTCCTAATGGAGACCGGCACAGGCTCCAACACCATTCCAGCACTTACCGGGCCTCCTCATGGCTCCGGAACGTGTAATAAGGTGCACTTGCCCGATTTATTTAATAAAAGTAATTCCTGCTCATTATTCCTCTTATTATCATTGGTGGTGATAATGACAGGATGTTTGAACATGTTGCTTTTGCTCTGGGACTGGCCAGGGGGGTTAGTTTTTACCCTACTGTTGGTGACTCACCTAATGGTGAAGACCAGTGAACTAACTGGTAGGCGTGGAGTGGACGGGAACAGTGCCTCCTGGACAGGCTGTGGGGCGTCAGGGCTACAGGTGTGTCCCATCGACATTGATGTCATGCCTCAGCAGCATAGTCCTCTCAGCTCCCCTGAGGTGTGGGGGCCAGAAAACATAGATGGATCACGCATGCTCCCTCACAGGTTATCATCTGTGCTACTGAACCTGTCCCTGGTATTACAAAGTTCCCAGACAGCCTCTTTCTGTGCCTTGTAGGCTCCATGGTGGCTTCTTCACTAGATTTTGAAGAGACCAGTTGACAGATCCAGCCACAACAGAGAAGGCAAATTTCTTGTTTAGGGCATTGTCATAGAGAGAGGAAAAGGTGGCGAGGCCCTTGCGTGTTGGAAGCTAATGCTCTCTCTGTAGGAACAGATTTGAGCTTTCTTGATCTAAATACTGTAACTAGGGCTAGGGAAGCAGCTTGGTGGTAGGGCACTAGGATGTACAAGGCTCTGGGCTCCATTCTCAGCACCAGCTGAATGAATGAATGAATGATCCCACAGTACCCAAGAGTAGAGAGCCAACCCTCTCACCTGATACACATCTCCTCACCTGACACACATCTCCTCACCTGACACACATCTCCTCACCTGACACACATCTCCTCACCTGACACACATCTCCTCACCTGACACACATCTCCTCGCTTCTCTGATAGGACACCTGTGCAAATGTCCTCATCTTGAACAAAAAGGGCCCAACACTGGAATGGGTTGGAAAAAAGTAGACTCCATCCTTGGTCTGGTTTTGCAGCTCATGCTGGTAGTAGGGGTGGGTCATGTGGGTCAGATTTTCCTCAGCTGTAGGGGTGTGCACACTAATACCAAGCACACAGTTGTGTGAAGACAGACTAGTGCAGAGCTTTGGGCTAAGCTGCTAATGTACACCATGCATTCACCTACAGATGGTGGCTGCCTTTGTGCCGCCCTGGGCCACACCTGCTGCCACTGTGTTTCTCATTTCTGTTCCATTGATATGGGCACTAAGGGCTCTCAATACCCTCCACTCTTACTCCTGAGAAATTCTCTTTTCCACATTCTCGGAATGGCAGAATATGAGTGAGTGTATTGGAGGCAGGTGTGGTGGTGCACATCTTTAGTCCCAGAACTCAAGAGGCACAGGCAGGCTGACCTTAAAACCAGTCTGGTCAACACAGCAAGTTCCAGGCCAGCTAGGGCCACACAGAGCAGCCTTGTCTTTAAAAAAATGTGCATTGGAATATTCTTGTTTATTTCCTTCCAAGGAACTTAAAGATTGGTCTGACATGAAATATAATTTCACTATGTCTAATAATGGCCACAGAAAACAAGTATAATTATTCCCATTAGATGGTGAAACAGAGGCTCAGAGAGGTTGAAGGAATTACTGAAAACCACACAATGAGCCAAAGCTCTTACTCAGGTTGTCCTGGATGGGTACACCCCAGAATACCGCTCATTATTGTCAGGTCACTAAACAAAACTGTTCTCTCTGGAGTACGAGCCTTATTGCTTGGCACAACATTGATGCTTTCTACAGTTTATAAAGCACTTATAAGCCCCTCCCTAACCTCACACAGTATTACCACCTGCATCACTGAGTGGTACTGCCATCATCACCAACGTGTCCTTGAGGAAACTGACATTTTGCAAAGCTCCATGACCTTCCCAACGTCATGTTTTCTGTAGTTGGGATCTTGGTAGTTCTCATGTGTTAGAGACTTGATTCTCCAAGGAAGCACTGTTGGGAGATGGTGAAACCGTTAAGAAGTGAAGCCTGGTAGAAGTATTTTAGGTCATTGGGGGGTATCCTTGGAGGACTGAGGGACCCTTCAATCCCCTCCTATCTTTCATTCCTTGACTCTGTACATGGTGAGATTTGTTCTACACATACTCTATGTGCTGCCTCATCACTCATGGGGCCTCTAAAGCTGTGACCCCAAATCTCTTTCTCTCTCTATGAGTTGATAAACTCAGGTGTTGATCATAGTGACGGGAAGGTGTCTGCTTAGTTAGATTTGTTTGTGTGTTTCTTTGTTTGTTGTTCTTTGAGCTGTCCTGGAACTAGCTCTATAGACCAGGCTGGCCTCGAACTTACAGAGAGCTGCTTGCCTCGATCTCCTGAGTGCTAGGATTGAAGGCGTGTACCACCACTACCTGGCTTAGTTTTTATTGTCAACTTGATACTACCTAGGGAAAAGGGAACCTCAAGCGAAGAATTGCTTCAATAGATTGGCATGCTGTTATGTCTGTGGAGCATTGTTTTGATTGACAATTGACATAGGAAGCCCCACACCATTGTGGGCAGCACCATACCTAGGCAGGTGGGCCTGGGCCATACAAGAAAGCTAGCTGAGGGCCTGGAGAGTTGGTTCAGTGATTCAGATTGTTGCTCTTGTAGAGAACCCAAGGTCCTTTCCTGGAACCCATGTAGGGGCTCACAATTATTTTCTAGTTTTTAAAAATAAAAAAAAAATACATTTTATTCACAACTATCCTTAACTTGAGTTCCAGGGGATCTAACACCCCCCCTTCTGACCTCTGCAGGCATGAAAACTAGAATATGATGCCATTAAGTAGAGCCCCGGTCAGTGTGGCTCCACATAATGTCCTTATTGTTGTTATTGACCTGTGTTGGGGAATATTTTTATGTTGTGTGAAGATGTGTCATGGTGATTGGTTTAATAAAGAGCTGTATGGCCAATAGCTAGGCAAGAAGAGGTTAGGTGTGACTTCTGGGGACAGAGAGGAAAATGAAAGGCAGAATTGCCAGCCAGACATGGAGTGGAAACAGGAGGTGCAAAAATGGAAGACAGGTAAAAGCTACATGGTAGAATGTAGATTAATAAAAATATGAGTTAATTTAAGTTATAAGAGCTAGTGGTAGAGGCAGGTGGATCTCTGTGAGTTTGAAGCCAGCCTGGGCTACAGAGTGAGTTCCAGGAAAGGCTCAAAAACTGCACAGAGAAACCCTGTCTCAAAAAAGCCCCCCCAAAAAGAGGGAGGGGGCTAGTGGGCAAGCTCAAGGCTGAGCTTTTATAATTAATAATAAGTGTCCATATAGTTATTTGTGAGCTGGTGACCTGAAGGAAAATCCAATTACAGACCTGAAATTTGTTATGTAGCCCAGGCTTGCCTCAAACGTAAGATGCTTCTCCTGCTACAGTCTCCAAAGCGTCGGTGTTGTAGGCCTGAGCCACAATGTCCAGTTTCCAAATGCTGTTCTGTCGTTGGATTTCCTGAACATGTAAAGACTGTCTGAGTAGTTTGCTCCAAGTCTGCTTTCTCCAGCCCCACAGTCCTTACTCACTGCCCCTGTGGCTGTTCTTCGTCCTCTTGTTTCTGGTGCTCAGAGTCTTGCTCACAGTTGCTCCTTCCTCAGTTAGCACCTTCTTTCCAGGCCTCCGAGGACCAGGTATCCTTGGTCTTCAACTTTACCTGTATAATCTTGACACTCTGCAGGCCAGAGATGTGAGCCTTACATTTATAGGTTTCTATTTTATCACCTGGCTTTAAAACTCAACCACCCAGGGAGGATAATCCAAGGTTTACAAGCCCTGAAGCTTATGTAGTAGGGAGACCATGTACAGCAAAGAAAGAACACAGTTAAAGGAGGGTTGGGAGGGAAGCCCATGGAGTGAGAGTCCTTTGGTTTCACACCATCACAGCAGAAAGGATGAAGCTGTGACTCCCTCTCTATGCATATGAAGATCCAAGCCCGGTCTGGTCACCCCTCTGTGAGTCCATCTGGGCTCGATGTGGAGCCTTCGTTCCACAGGCTTAGCTCCCTTGACTCTCAGGGCGTTAGAGTCACGGAGCCTTGTCTCCACTGTACATGTCCACCACTCCCTACTGAATTGTTTGCGGCTTAACTTGTACTTCTTTCAGCACAGGAGTCTTGGCGATGGAACCCAAGACTTTGTGTATGCCAGGTAAGCACTCTTCCATTGAGGTATACCCCCAGCCTAGGAACCCAGCTTTCTATTTCATGAAAGAACCCCCACTGAGCCCAACCCAATGCTGAGTTTGTGAATGTTTTATGGATGCATAGATGTTTGAACAAATGAATGAATAAAGAGTGCCCATTCAATTGCTGCGTGTGGAATTTACGGAGAAAATTTAATGGTTCTTATAATGACCATTTATTGGCTGCCTGTTATGATGCAGTCAACCCTCCTGCCTCACTGGTGTTCACAGCAGCCTTGCAGAGTGGGTGTCATTATCTCTAATTGATAGCTGAGGAAATGGAGGCTCTTAATGGTTAAGTCATTTGCCCAAGGTCAAGTAGTCAGTCAGGGGCAGGGCCAGATCCATTCCTTTTCACTTGAAACTCTATCTTAGAAACAAAGAACAGAACCCCCTTCCCAATGGGGGAAATGCAGCCTGGACCTGCTCTCTGTGTGCCTCAACTGTGAGTGAGGAGGTGCAGAGAGTCCCTACTGCCTCCACAGGCCTCCTCCTGTCTCTCCTGTTCCCAGGGAACTTTAAACATGCCCTATTCACGCAACTCACTAGCCAGATGGGTACGGACAGTGAGCAGAGTCCTTCCAGTGGGTCTGCAGTGGGCAGCAGGATGAGCCAAAAGTCAGCTTGGCAAGTAGGATAAGCTGGCTGAAGGACCTGGAGTGTTGATGGTAATACTTAGGAAGCCTGCCTGGGCCAGAGCAGAGGGAGGAGGCACCTCAGATGCCTTCGCTTTCTACCAGACACTGTTGCAGATAGGGAGAAGAATGATGCCCTTTGTGGTCTCTTTGGACCAACAAGACTCTGTGATCATAGAGGAATGTGAGGATGGATGCCAGCTTCCCACCGAGGGCGCGTAATGACAAAGTCTCTCTTGGGCAATTTTTAGTTGATGAAAATATGATGGTGCTTTAAAGAGGTTTCAAGAGCCTGGGGCGAAAGATGCTTTGATAACAGACGAAGAGGTGCTCAAAGGCCCACACCTCCCGATCTCCTTGAAGTCTGTCAGAGCAATTCCCATTTTACAGAGAGAAAACTGGAGGCTGGCATCTTGGAGACTAAAAATTCAGGGTTTATTCTGTATTTGGCCTAATATGGGATCTCCCTGAGTACAAGAAGTGTCTAGAAGGCAGTCATGTGGAAT